CCCCAAAAAAAAAAGAAATAAAAAGGAATCGGGCTGGAAAGGTGGCCCAGTGATAGAGTGCTTGCTTGCCTAGCATGGATACGGCCCTGAGTTCGATTCCTCAGCACCATATAAACAGAAAAAGCCAGATGTGGCACTGTGGCTCAAGTGGTAGAGTGCTAGCCTTGAGCTGAGGGACAGTGCCCAGGCCCAGAGTTCAGGCCCCACAACCGACCAAAAAAAAGGAATCAATCAAGATACTGCACAAAAGACACAGACCAAGCACTAAAACACACTTTGGCAATTACAGACGAACATACCTGATGGCATCTTTGCTGGAAGCTTTTATTATTTCTGTTGCAGAAGGAACACCTATTCGTTTAAATTTAATTCCCTGTACAAAAATCATAACATAAAAATGACTATCAATTATTCCCCATCACATCTCTCTCTCTCTCTCTCTCTCTCTCTCTCACACACACAGGCACACAGCTCCCCCTCCCCAAAATGCAATAGTCATTAACAGAAGTTTTCAGGGCCTGACATGGGAGTGCGACACCCAGGAGGATGGAGGAAAGGTTAAGCTACAAAGCCTGAGTATAACTTAATACACGCCCATCTAAAATATAAATGAACAAATAAACCTCAATAAGCTTCATCCTATGTAGAAAAAGTTGCAGGAATAACGTAAGGAGTTTCTGTAGATCACACAGGTCTGCTATAGCTAGCATCTTATGTTACTAGGGTAGATTTGTCAGAACCAAGAATTCAAGACTTTGTTCACATTTTTCCTTGTTTTCCATGAACTTAATGATTTTAGTTTGATAAGTCAAAGGGCCAGGGTCAAAGATTTCCAGGGGTGAATGCATCTCAGCTCGTACCAGGGACACATGGTAACTGATAATGTGAACCATGACTTCCTGGTCTTAGTAGTGTTTACAGGACTCTCCACTGTAAAGTCCTCACTCTCTACTATGTTCTGTTCACTTTAAATAAGCCACAAAGTATAGTCTATGCGGGACAAGATTAAGCTCTACTTCCTGGTAGAAGAATCTACAAAGTTAAATTCTGTAAGGTACGCCTGCCTCTCTTCCTCTTTTTTATGGAGGCTGAACCCCAAAGCTTTGCACATGCTCGGCAAGCACAGTACCACTGGGCTATATCCTGACAGCCCCTTTCTTTTTGACTCCCCTCCCCCATTCTCCTGAGAATTTCTGTGACCCTTAATCTGCTCAAATATTTCTAGTGTGCTCATTTGTTGCCTGAAAACTGCCTTTTAAGCACATGAAGAGTACTGTTTACAAATGCAGTTTCAAAAGGGGCATTATATCATAGGCATCATGCTAGAAACAAGTCAAATAAATTTAATAAAAATGAGTAACAATGCTGGGTGTTGGTGGCTCACGCCAGGAATCCCAGCTACTCTGGAGGCTGAGATCTGAAGATCGTGGTTTGAATCCAGCCCAGGCAGGAAAGTCTGTGAGACTCTTACTCACAGAGCAAGAGGTGGCACTGTGGCTCAAGTGGTAGAGCACTAGCCTTGAGTACAAATAGACTAAGGGACAGCGCCCAGGCCCTGAGTTCAAGCCCCAGGACTAGCAAAAACAAAACAAAATACCCACGCACTACGAAAGAGGAAAGTAATTTTACCGCTTTTTGTTCCACTTGTGCTAACTGGTATTCTTCCTTGTGCTGATAGAAGCAGATGCACACCCCTGTCCTTCCAGCTCGACCTGTGCGCCCAGAACGATGAATGTAGGATTCCACATCCTATTGAAGAAAAATATGAGTGACACAACAGAGACACATACCTAACAACCTATGCAGAGGTCAGTGAACACTCTGCATAGGGAGGAGGTCCCTTAACACTTCATATTTTTGCATATGTGTGCCAGTCCTAGATATTAAACTCAGAGCTTGGGCATTATCCCTGAATTTTATTGTTCAAGGCTAACATTCTTATCACTTGAGAGCCACAGCTCCACGTCTAGCTTTTTGGTGGTTAGTAAGAGTCTCAAGACTTTCTTGCTTGGGCTGACTTTGAACTGTGACCTCCAGAACTCAGCCTCCTAAGAAGCTAAGATTCTATGTGTGAGGCAACAGCAACCAGCTAACCCTTCAATTTAAAGCAAATGCCATGGAAGGTGTAGAACACATCTTCAACAGCAGTCCTTTCCTATTCCTTAAGCCAATTTGCAAAGGGCACTGTCTGACAAAGCATGTATTTCCAATTGCAAGTAGCCATAATATAAATTCAAAAGATAACAATTATAATGTATCCTATTTAATTAACTCTCTGCATCCAAGTCGTTCCATTTAATGATATTTAAATAAAATAGGTTTATCCTTATATTAAACAAATTTTCTTTTAAATATTCAGAATACATAATAAATAAAAAAATTGCTTCAGTTCAAAGGTCCTATAATCCACAAGCCTCAGTAGCTTTACCACAAGGTTATTGACTACAGCCCTTTTCCATTTTGTCTTTTTCTAGCTTGTACATTTACATATTCCTACATCTACTTCATCTTCAAGTCCTTCTCCCCAACTTCAAGGTCCTCTCAGAATTATACTACCCTACTCTCCATGAAGACTTCCAGGCTACCTTGGCAGCAAAAGGCATCTTTCCCACTCTAGCTACTATTGTTCTTCCTCTGTCAGTTCTGAAACCAAGGCAACTAAGAACCATAAGAGGTTCACTTGCAAAGTCACCTCTAATACCCTATTATACTGTTGAGATAGCTTTTATACAACTTATTTTAGACTCCCAAAGAAACAAAATCCAATCTTACAATCTAAGTATAGAACACAAACCTTTGGTGGAGAACTCTGTACAACCAAATCAACTTCAGGGATGTCTAAACCACGTGCAGCGACATTGGTTGCCACCAAAACTCCAAAATTACCATTTCTAAAACCTTTCAAGGTGATTTCCCTTTGCTTCTGTGGAATGTCTCCATGTAATGACTGCGCTTCCTGCAAATCCAATAATACATCCTCAATTAAGGCTTATAAAGACATATTTTTTTGATGATTCTGCTAACAATAGGAGGCAAACATGTGTCTTTATAACTTCCAAATTACCTCAAAACTCCCAATTAGTAAATCAATTATATAAAACATATTAATCAAGGGCTGGGAAGGTGGCTCAGTGGATGAATGTTTGCCTTGCAAGCATGAGGCCCTGGGTTCAATTCCTCAGCACCACATAAGCAAAAAAAGGAAAAAAGCCAGAAGTGGTGCAGTGGCTCAAGTGGTAGAGTGCTAGCCTTGAGCTGAAGAGCTGAGGGACAGCGCCCAGGCCCAGAGTTCAGGCCCCACGACCGGACCCAAAAAACAAAACAAAACAAAACAAAAAACATATCCATCAAGGCTGAAAACTCAGTCAAGAGTGATAAATCCTACTTTGTCATGAAACTTTAAGTTTGAGTCACCCACCTTTCTCCCATCTGTGAGATGAGACTAAACCTAAAAGCTGGAAATTATGAGATGAGTAAAAACATATATATTCAAAATGAAAATTTACTGATGGCACCAGCTTTGCAGTCATGAAAGACCAACCTGCTTCATCGCTGAACTCTGTGATAGTTCTTGGGCTTCTTTCTTGGTTTCACAGAAGATGATCGTGCGCCCCTGATGACCACTGTACACTCGGATCACATCCCCAATAACTGCTGCCCTCTCAGTCCAGTGACACTTGATAGCTAAATGCTTTCAGAGAAAAAATATTTTAGTAAAGACTTGTGGAAAACTGAAGTTATCTTCTCCCTGAAGTTATCTTCTCAATTCTGGCTAATTAATGTCTTGGTATCATAAACAACTCAAGATTGACAGAGCTGAAGGATGTCACTTTTGCATAGAGAATACAACAAAACTAAATATACCATCAAAGTGAAGAGTAACCTGATGTGGTCTGGCACCTTGCCTCTCCTCTTTCTCTAGAGTATCTAGCTTCTTTCTCACTTAACCACAAAATATAAGAAAGGCCACTCCCAGAGTCCTAAAAGAAACTAAGTAAATGGCAATAAAAGTCTCTTTAGGTCTTGTCCTTTGATCACTTAAAAAAAACAATCTGTTGTCAGTTACTGTATAGGTCTGTTCCTTCGGTGAAATGAATTCATCTAGGTATTGAAGCTAAGATGAAAAGTTTCAAGATAAAGCATGTGCTGTTGCCCTCTAGTGGCTAAATCCTAAGTTTAATTTCTTTGTCTACATAATTCAGACATATTTAGATTCCAAATGATTCTTTTATTTAGGTTACCAGATAATGAAATATTGAAACACAGATACTATATAAAACTCAAATAGAAACTCATCTTTAGTTTGCTCTACATAAAAATTTAGTACATATTTGGACAAAGGATTTGAATTTGCCAGTCTTAATACTATCAGAGAGGAAACAATGAGATAACTTAATACTAATTCCGGCAACTAAATAAATCATTTACCTCCACAGTTACTGCTGTTTTCTGAGTCTTTTTACCAATCAGGTCCACCTGTTCATATGTAGATTTCATGTATTTCTTAGCAACATTAAATACCCAATGAGGGCAAGTTGCAGAAAAAAGCAATGTTTGGGGATTGTCTTCAGAATCTTTGGGGGGAAAAAAAGTCAGTATGAATAATTCAAATAAGCCTACAGAGAACTCTACCTCACCCTAGTCTTTAGAGGGTCCATCAGCAATCACCAGCAACCACTTGAGGCTAGCCAGGCATTGAGGACACAAAAAATGTTAACATCAAAGCTTCCCAACAACTGAAATAACCAATGTAAAGGAGTCTTCAAATAACCACCATATTCTAAACTTAATTTTGCTTTCCTGATTATTGGCTTCCACAAAAGAAATATATGCACTATAGTGTAAGGTCTACCAATTGTGTAATACCAAGTCATCAAGTCTAGTAGTCTCTCAAGTACAGATATCTAAACAAATTACCTAATAAAAAAACCAGTGTGTGTGGGGCTGGGAAGGTAGCTCAGTGGTAGAGTGCTTGCCTTGCATGTATGAGGCCCTGGGTTCGATTCCTCAGCACTATATAAGCAGAAAAAAACAGAAGTGGCACTGTGGCTCAAGTGGTAGAGCTCTAAACTTGAGCTGAAGAGCTCAGGGACAGTGCCCAGGCCCAGAGTTCAGGTCCATGACTGACAAAAAACAAAAACAAAAAAAAACTGTGTGTGTGTGAATTTAAAATTCCATAGCTAGCCGGTCACAGATGGTTCATGCCTAAAAACTTCTTCACTACTTAAGAGACTGAGATCTCAAGTATCACAAGCAAAAGTCTACAAGCCCAAGCAAAAGTCTACAAGATATCTCCAAAATAGCTAGGAAAAAGTTGGGCTGGAGGCATAGCTCAGAGGGTGAGTACCCAAGCAAGCAACCATGAGGCCCAGGGTTCAAACCCTGGTACAAGTGAAAAAGAAAATTCCTGGGCTAGAGGTGCAATTCATTCCATGTGCAAAACCCTATATATCAGCATTTAAAAATTTAAGTAAAAAGAATTCCAATTGTGAGGTCAATTATGATTTTTTTTGTGTGTCTGTATACCTAAGAGGTTTAACTTTCTCATATAAAGGGTATTGCTACAATTCTCATATTTTTTTTTTAACTGTATTTTTTTTGTCTTTTCTTTTTTGGTACTGGGGATCGAACCCAGGACATTGCACTTGCTAGGCAAGCGCTTTGCCACTGAGCTACATCCCAGCCCTCTCATATATTTTAAATGGCAATGAAAACTGGTAGAACTTGTTAGAGAGCAATATGACAAAGCACATTAAGGAATACTATTTACAACTTTTTTTTTTTTTAGTTGGGCTTGGGTTGGGCACTGTCCCTGCATCAGCTCAAGGGGAGCGCTCTACCACTTGAGCCACAGCGCCACTTCAGGATGTCTAGTGGTTTATTGGAGATAAGAGTCTCACAGACTTTCCTGCTCAGGCTGGCTTTGAACCAAGATCCTCATATCTCAGTTTCCTGAGTAGCTAGGATTACAGGCGTGAGCCACCGGCGCCCAGCAATTTACAGCTCTTCACCTAGTAATTCTACTTCTAGAAATCTGCCCTAAAGAACCAATCTATTGTTATGTGAGGAGGCCTACTTGCATGACTAAATAAGACTTACATGGAATAAGGAAAATAGGTGGGTATTGGAAATCATGTAGCATTAAGCTGAATCTTTAATACATGGTTAATTTATTATAATTAGCACACATACAGCACATAGAACATAGAAATCAAAAGTACACCAAGAGGTAAGATGACAGGTCATTTCTCTACTGCTTTTTAAAGTTTTTTCATTGTAGTTATGTGCCAAATCATGACATTTCAAAAACTCCCAATTTTTTTTCCGAATAAGCTAAACCCTTCCAATTTCCTAATGATCCATTTATCTCTCAGAAGACCACCATTCCACTGGTCCTTCATTAGCTCAAAATTTGGGGCTTACCTTTTTTGTAGGCCACACATAAGATCTCTTCTACTTGATCTGCAAAACCCATATCCAACATCTGGTCAACTTCATCCAGCACAACATGCTTAAGCTTGGTGAGATCGAGTTTGCCGTTCTGTAGGTGGTCTTTGATTCGACCTGGGGTCCCAACGAGGATATCAATCCCATTCCGCATCCGCTCAACTATAAGGAACACCAATAAAAAGTTTTGTTGTTTTAAAATAGCACACTTCACATTGGGTGCTGGTGGCTCATGCCTGTAATCCTAGCTACTCAGGAGGCTGAGATCTAAGGATCACAATTCGAAGTCAGCCCAGGCAGAAAAGTCTCTGTGAAACTCTTACCTCAACCACTCAAAACCTAGAAGTGGCTCTGTGGCTCAAGTGGTAACAGTGCTAGCCTTGAGCACACAGAGACTTAGGGACAGTGCCCAGGCTCAGAGTTCAAGCCCCACAACCAACAAAAAAGTAATTAATTAATAGCATGCTCATCAGTTTGGGGCACCATCTCAATGTACTTTCACTCTAAAATATTTATTAGATAGCTACTAAGCAATACGGTAGCCAATGAGGGTAGCGCCACTCAAGGTGCTCCTGATGCAGTGGGGAAAAATTATAAGAAAGAATTGACAGTGAGTGTACTGAGTGACTTAACGGGAAATGTTCGATTGGAGCATGATAGCATTAAGGAAGACTGACTCCCTCAAAAAGTGAAAACTAGCTGGGCGCCGTGGCTCTCGCCTGTAATCCTACCTACTCTGGAGGCTGAGATCTGAGGATTGCGGTTCAAAGCCAGCCCAGACAAAAAAGTCTATAAGACTCTTATCTCCAATTAACCACCAGAAAACTGGAAGTGGCGCTGTGGCTCAAGCGGTAGAGCGCTCGCCTTGAGTTAAAGAACGCAGGGATAGTGCCCAAGCCCAGAGTTTAAGCCCCAGGACCAACAACAACAAAAAAACCTGAAACTTTGAGTTTTCAGACTTAGTACTAGTAAGAACCTCAAAGAACTAGGACCTTTTGTTTTTGTTTTCCTGAGGCAGGATCTTTCCATGTTATCAAGCTGGCCTCAAACTTTTGATCTTTCTGTCATGAGTGCTAGGATTATAAGCGATGTACTACCATACTTGGCTTGGAATAACAATTTTCTATATAATAACAGCAACTATATGGGGCAGAAGAGACAAGATAGATGAACAAATAATTCTAATAAGATATGGAAATGCTCAGGAAAAAAGAGGTATTCAATATAAATGGATGAGATAGTAGTAATAGAGTTTTTTTTTAAGTCGAGCAGCTATTGTAATCTAGAGATTTTTACCAGGCACTTTGCATACATTGTTTAATTCAATCTTCCTAAGATTCCTACAGGGTGGGTTTAGTAATTCTCGTTATAATAGATGAGAAAGTCAAAGTTAAACTTGGGCATAGTCACCTAACTACTTTCTACTATGTGATCAGTCTAGATTCAAAGCCAGGCTTTTCTGATGTGAAAGTCTAAGTTAGAGTCAAAGCTGGAAAGTAATAATCACAAGCTTTGTGTGCCAGTGTAGACTTTTTTAATGCCTTAAATCTTTTTATATCCATTCTGCATTACCAAGAAAAAAGAAACGGCCACCAAAAGCCTGCTTACATCACATCAAGAAACAACTGGCAAAAGACTGAAGAGACTGACAAACTGCATTCTGTCAATTTAGGTACAAAATATTACCTCTGTAGTCTTTAAGTAAAATACTGACAGGTAACAGAAAACTCCCAAGAACCCCCAAGAACTCCCAAGAATGTACACAGTCTCACTCAAGACCATGATCCTAACCATATCTTTAAATAAGAGCCACAAAAAAACCCAAAACAAACAAAAAACTGTAAGCAAAAACAACTAGAAGAGGTTAAAAAAAAGTCAAGTTCAGAAGAAATCCAATCACAGCATTTTACCTCCTGCTTTTGAATCTACTTACTTTGACCTCCATAGGGAGTTCCACCATAAAAGCAAGCCACAGATAGCTTTTTTGTGATGTCACTGAAGTCTCTGCTGACTTGACTTGCCAGTTCTCTTGTAGGTGCAAGAACAAGTACCTGGAAGAGAAAAATGAACCACTGAAATCGAAATACTACGTAGTATGTTACACTTGATCAGTCTGGAATACACCAGAAAGTTGAGATGTTTTCCAAACATCCATTAAATGCTGTGTAATGTGCTTCAAAGGATCATGAATGTAATACAGCTTCTGACAAATACACTCAGCTCATCATCACAACAAGAAGTAAGCATCCAAACCACGGTATTCCAGAAAGGTTACATGAAACATAAGTCTATAGGTCCTGTGCAGGCTTTTCGAGAAGAGCATTCCTTGAAAATGTGAGCAAGATAGCCAGGAGCTGGTGGCTCACTCCCGTAATCCTAGCTACTCAGGAGACTGAGAACTGAGGATCATGGTTCAAAGCCAGCTGGGGCAGGAAAGTCCATGAAGCTTTTATCTCCAATAAACCACTAGAAAACCGGAAGTGGCGCTGTGGCTCAAGCAGTACAGTGCTTGAAGCTGAAGAACACAGGGACAGAGCCTAAGCCCAGAGTTCAAGCCCCACCACCAACCAAAAAAAAAAGAAAAGAAAAAGAAAGAAAATGTGAGCAAGAAACTACATTCATGATGTTAGCTAATATTTTTGCTTCTACTCTGCCCTAGACTCTACTAAGTACTTAATAGGTATTATTCTGATTCAATTCTCAAGACCATCTTAGAAGTAAATATAGAGGGGAAATAACTTGAATAAAGCCAAAAAACACAACAAAAAAAAATTTCAATTAAAAAAATTAGGGCTGGGAATGGGGCTTAGTAGTAGAGTACTTGAAGCTCTAGTGCATACATGAAACCCTAGGTTCCTTTCCTCAGTACCACATAAACAGAAAAGGCTGGACATGGCACTAGGGCTCAACTGGCTCAACCCTTGAGCAAATGAAGCCCAGGGACAGTGCTCAGGCCCTGAGTTCAAGCGTGAGGATTGGCAAAAAAAGTATAAAAATAACTAAAAACAAAAGACTACCTGTAGTAGAGATTTACTACATGGATTTAATCTGACCAGATAGTCAGATTCCAAAATATATAGAAAAGTACTACTAAATATAAAAATACTTTTGCCATATAGGCAGACAAGTCAGATGTTTGTTCAAACCTGTGAGCTCTAACTATATCCAGTATTTTGAAGGAGCTATGATTAATAATAATACAAGTTATCACCACCATGGGACAGATAGCAATATGTAAACCACACAGTTTATGGCAGACAGCTTCATAAAAGAACTATCCTGGTTTGCCCTCAGATGAATATATGTACAATAAAAGTGGGTGTAGCTGGCTCACTCCTGATCTGAGTATTAGTTTAAAGTCGGCACAGGCAGGAAAGTCCATGAGACTCTTTTTTTTTTTTTGGCATCCAGTTGTGGGGCCTGAACTCTGGGCCTGGGTGCTGTCCCTCAGCTCTTAAGCTCAAGGCTAGCATTCTACCACTTGAGCCACAGCGCCACTTTTGGCTTTTTTCTTTTTGCTTATGTGGTGCTGAGCAATCGAACCCAGGGCCTTGGACATGCAAGGCAAGCGCTCTACCACTGAGCCACCTTCCCAGCCCAAGTCCATGAGACTCTCCAATTAGTAACCAAAAAAGCCAGAAGTGGATCTGTGGCTCCAGTGGTAGAGCACTAGCATTGAGCAAAAGCAGCTTAGGGACCCATGTTCAAATCCCAGGACTGGCACTCCCCAAATCCCCCCTCAAAAAATCCACAATAAACACAATGGAGGACTCATGGGGAACCCAGTAAACTGGTAGGATATGTCAAATGAAGCCTGAAGTGTGTGTTTTAGTTACCTGAGGCGCTCGGCCTCTCTTCCTGTCTTGCAGACCACCCTGTAGTTTCTCAATCAAAGGGATGGCAAAGGAGAATGTCTTCCCAGTTCCTGTCCGTGCCTGTGCAATTAAGTCTTTTCCACTATAGACATGGTGAAATGTCTTTGCTTGTATAGGAAACAGGAAGGTCACCCCACGGGCTGTGAATAAATCAACCATGTTATTTAACATCACAGCTTCTTTTTGTGTGGTCTTGGGAATCAAACCCAAGACCTTGTGTATACTTAAACACATAATTGGCCACTAAGCTATATACCTCAGCGCCAACACTGTAATTGTTTAAAACACCACCACCACCAGCCACAGTCAGAAGCATACTCATGCTTCTGGTCCTGTGCAATTAAAGAATCCCTCCTTCTGATTACATCTACAAAGTCAGTTTCAAATATATGAAATAATGAAAAATCTAGCTCAGTGAAAATAGCAGCAAACTTTAAAGCATCATGTATAGTAACTACATATTATTTTAATAATGACAGTAAGTTAGTTGTCGTCAAATCTTATCAACAGGCCAATTTGAGCTAGAAAATTTGTAATCCAGACTGTTGCACCTAAAAAAACTACTAGTGGAGTATCTAGGACCACCTAACTAGTTAATAGACAAGTTGCTAATATGAAATGAGATTAAAAAAGAAAACACTAACTTGGCATCAAGTAATTATTTCATCTTGCCAGTATGTTACATTTCTAAATGTCGTATTAATTTTAATACTCATTTAAAACAGTTAAGTCTCAATATACACATCCACTTAACTATATGGTTGTGTCTTCAATAAGTGTGTTTTGGTTCACCTCTATAAACATGCCAGGATGCTTCCAAATATTTTCTAACATCAGAGATGATAGCTCCAAGAATATTACCTTTGAGATGCTTGATAGTCTCTTCAGATATGGGAAAATTAGAGAAAGCTCCTTCTTTTTGTTCCACGGGTATTTCCTAACAAAGAACCACAGAAGGAAATCAATAAAGACAAGTTAAAACAACAGTGAAAATCTAATGTAAAGCAACTCTTCTTTAAACACTAGCTTAAAAGGGGAAAAAATATAACAGAGCGGCACATCAGCTGCACTGAACATTGATGAAAACGAACTAAGCAACTCAAGGGCAGCGATGGGAGGGAGAGAAGAGGAGGGAAAGAGGCAACAGCTAACACTAAGCAAAACGAAAGAAATTTATGTTATCACCCAACCCAGAAGAAATAGTTGTACTGTCAAAGCTTGTAGAATTCACAAACTTTATAGACCAAGATAATGACAATTTGCTTTGTGAAGGCTAAAATGTGTTTGTAACTTTAACCAAGTATCACTATCCTACATACTGAAATTTATGTAACCATTTATGTAACTTTAACCAAGTATCACTATCCTACATACTGAAAT